TAGTCTGACCCCCAAGAGAAATAGACAGCTGAAGTTTGTGGGCGTGGCCTATTCTCTTAAATAGCGCCCCCTAGGACCATTTAAACTAATAGCCCCAAGCCATGCTTTGACTGAGGATTACGAAATTTGGTACACTAATGTGGTGTCTCAGGACCTACAAAAAAGCCTCTTGGAGCCAAGCGCAAAGTCGCACAGGAAGTCGGCCATTTTGGTCCAAGTACGCGATTTAGTGGTTTTCGCACACGTTGTTTGGAGAGTGATGCTCCGTCGCCCTTTTCACCAATCACTTTCAAACTTCTGCTGTATACTCTTAAGACGTAGGGTAAAAAATTCAACCGTCGGATTTTTCAAAAGTTGAAAGGTGTGGGCGTGGCTAAGCCTCAAACTTTGACCTTTCGCCATTACTTTACTTGACTTAATAACTCCCATGAGCATGATCAGATCTTTTTCAAACTTTGTCTGTGTGATAATTGACCATATCTGTAAAAAATGACAATGTGGACAGCTGACATCACCTAAGCCCCGCCCCCTGACTACAGGAATTCTATTTTTTTATGCTGAAATGCCCATATTTGTCCCCTCTAATTTAGTCAACAAGTCACCAAGGTCATGCACTGTCTTCATGATGCTGTATTGACCATTCAGATCTGATAGCTTTCCAGAAAGGGAGGGGCTTTGATGCCTTGGTGAATTCTGGCGTAACGCCGTAACCTTACAAATCATTTTAATGGTGAGCTCAGAGGGGATGCTGAGTCAGGGTGAGGTGCGGACTAGGAGGCCATTCGCGGATTCTAGTGTCGGGGTGGTTGACGTTTCTGTTCTGCCAGACGTGCCTTGGTGCCCCGGGCTGCCGGTCAGGCCGGAGCGGCGCGGAGCTGCGAGGGCCGAACGACGCTGCTTGCAGCTTTAATTATTATTATTATTATTATTATTATTATTATTATTATAACGATGGGTTCAATAAAAACATTTTCAGAATCAGAGCTGTAAATCGGTGCGGTGTTCTTAAAGCACACTCCACAACGGTTACACGGAAATTTAAATGAGATCAAAGACTTTAATGAGATGTAATCAAGGTTATTCCCACTTTTAAAGGGGAACCTGATGCACACCGACATGTCCAACAGTTGCTGAGGTCAGCTGTTGATGCCTCCAAATTGCCCGGCTCTGGTGTGAAACCAGCTGACCAGACGCTGAAGCAGTCCCCGCGTCGAGTCTGGTGCAGCTCAGCATGAACGTCGGCTGTGCTGTCGCCTCTAGGCCCAAACCAGAGGGGACTTTTAAAAATGGGCTTTAGGTCTCCAACGGCTCAGCTGACATCCACTTCCACAGATCATTAAGGCTCCACAGCTTCTCCCTCGGCAGCCTCCAACACACCAGCGGAGTCATTAAAGGCAACGTGTAATTAAAGTAGGAATAAACAAAAGCTTTCTTTCCTCTGGATCTTTTATTTCTCCCTCAGCCATGTGTGCATCTCTCTTTCTCACATTATACACACACTTTCTTTTCTCTCCCTATTTACATAGCTCTGTCTCTGTGCATGCACGTGCGTGTGTGTGTGTGTGTGTGTGTGTGTGTGTGTGTGTGTGTGTCTCAGACTGAGAGTTTGACAGTTCAGAAAGGAAATTCTCATTTTGCTCTCCTGGCGGTGGTGGTCGGCATGGACGAAGGCCCTCAGCCTAATTAGAAAACTAAATACTCTGAGTAATGTCTAACCCCCGGGAATACAACTGCCATATCTCTTACACATGTGATGTGGAAGGACCCGGAATGCCACTGGGGGTGTTTCACTGAAATATCCTGCGCTCTTCCCCTTTGCACAGCTGTCCACACAGACTCGTGCACTTAAGACAGGCTTGCTTTCATAGTTAAAATAGAAATTTGTGTCCTAAGTGCCGCAACACAGCTAATGCTAAATATTTAATTCCCGCGGGTGCTAATTACGGGTGAGTACTGGCAACACGGATTCCCTTTTTTCACTCAGCATAACAACTGTAAAAGCTATTAAAGCATTTTTCAACTAATTAAACACACAGTCTTCCAGTAACCTCTTGTCATTTTGCCCTCCAAGACCATCGCTAATTTGTGTAGAATAGAAACTAAAGAGGGAAGGCAGTTGGGGGGGGCTGTTTTCATCTGTGCAAAATGCCGCAACAAAGAAATTAAAAAGGGGAGACATCATTTTCATGAGTTTAAAAAAGATCCAGCTCTATTATTCGTTTTCAAAAAGCCTCTAGTATTGTACGTGCACTTTGAATGTTATGAACCCACATATCTGATGACTGTAACCACGAGCAACCAGACCCCATTATACTATCAAAGCGGAGCGAGATAGTCTGGCCACGAAGCTAATCCCTGATGTATTTTTAGTCACAACTGACTGATGAAGTGAAATTACTACATCAGTGATAAAACGAGGCTCTTTGCAAAAGCCTTTAAAAGATCCTGCAGCAGCCCACAGACTCACTGTGAGGGACTAAATGAAGCTGTGCAGCAGAGACATGGCAACATGGCGTACTCCAATCAGGACTAGAGTTTATTATCAAGTCATTTCACACTGACATTGCAGAACAGGTGCGTACTTTAAATGTATCCCGTCTTTCACTGATTTATGATTTGGGAGTTAAAAATGACAAAATGAAAATAAAACATTTGACAAGTTTCCAGAAACTGCACTCGAGTGGCCTCGCCCCTCCTCACATATTAGGTAAAGCCATTGCTTCCTGTTGTGTTTGTGCCTCTGGGTGCATGTATTAACATGCATGTGTGGGGTGGGGGGGTGGGGGGGGGGTCACCAGGAAGGAGGGGGGGCGTGGTTCACATCCTCCCTTAAAGGCCCCTGTCATTGCAGCAGATCAGAGGCAGGCTGTGAAATCCAACTAATAGTCATTATGGGATGCCAGTCCCGGCGCACATACCTGCTCGCCAAGGCAGCTCCCTCATGCTTCATATTTGCATTGTGTCATCTTATCAGCATCCACCCAGGGAGAGGGCAGATCACAGCGCAGTGACAGCCGCATCACTAATATCAATAAATAAGACGGGGGGAGAGGCGTGCAGCAGAGGAGCGTCTGCAGGAAGACAAAGAAATTATGCAATGCCACAAACCGCAGAGTGTGGCCGTGTGTCACCTAAAACAGCGAGACAAATATTATTTTTCTTCTGATGTAAAATTGATGTCCTGAGACCTCGTGGAGGGCCGTGCACACCCCCCCTCCTCGCCAGGAAGGGTGAGCTCTCAGAACACGGTGTGCTCCGTCACTTCTGGGCCTGGGCAGTCAGTAAGGCTGTGTCGGATCTCCGGATGGCTAGTGTTTCAAAGCCCGTTTAAACGGGCTCCCACAACGCCGGAAGCACCAACCTCAGCCCTCGGCCTCCCCATCTTTCTCCTTCCTCCTCTGGTCTTCCTCAACACCCTGAAAAGGGGCTCAGCTTGCTTTCCTCTTTGTTAAAGAAAAGAGGACAGTTGGGGAGGGTGGGCGAGCGAGTCGAGGGGCGCAGCCCCTCCAAATGCACGGTGGTGAGGAGAGACGGGGAAGCGCGGGGTCAGGAGTCCCAGTGCTAAGCTGTGAAAGGCAAACGTTTGGCAGAGTAATTACACGCTGCACTGCTCTGGGAGTGATTAGTGATAGTTGTCTGTTCAAAGTGTTTGGAGCTCGCAGCCTTTATGGGCCACGCTTGCCTTACCTCCGCTTAATGTTTAGATAGGATTTGCATCAGGAAGGAGAAGTGCACGTGTCAACATAAACAGTGTGCCTCTCCGAGGGTGCACAGTGTGTGTTCCATTGGAGCAAAATGATTTTATTATGAAAGAAAAGTCGCCTTTGACAATTCAGCCGTGTTGTTGTTTAAAGTTAACCAGCGTTATGTTGCTATGCTGCTTTAAAAAGCTCAGATTTTCCTTCAACAACAACAGTCAGTTAAATCTGCCGTGACTCTGCTAATCACTGCCTGACACTCGCTCCTATCTGGAACACGACGCCTTCGTTTGGCTCAGCTCTCTGATGCCGGGTCAGGTGGTGCTGCGGCGCAGGACAGGCAGCGTGCTCAGCTGGTTGGGGCCAGGTTGCCGGGCTTTGATGTCCTTCCTCTGTTGATGTTGGCTAGCCATTCTGTCCCTGCACAGCCTGCAGATGCGACTCCAGGCTGTAAGGTGAGCAGAAGCACAGCGGAGCAGCGTATCCAGTTGTAAAGCACATCCCGAGATGGAGGAGGAAGCGTAAACAACAGGAAAGGACAAAGATCCATAATGATGAGGAAGTTTTATATCAGTCCGTTTGTTTTCTGATAGCTGAACCTGGACTCACCATCTCATGTTTAACATTTTATTTTTTAATTTTAACAAATAGCTTTTGATCATTTTCACTTCACTTCATTAAAAAAGGTTCAACTTCTGTCCGACGGGAAGAAAAACGTCAATCCCTGTGGGAGTCTGAGATTCCCCTAAAAAGAGGAGATTTTAATCCCTTTGGAATCCTCCGGGCCTGAAACAAAACATCCGAGCAAGTCAGAATAGGCCGTATTAAGAGGCTGATGGGCATCTTATTTCAACACCCTCACACCTTAATCCCAGCACAGGGGATGAGTGACAAAGGCAGGATAGCTGGGTGGCAAAGCAAAGCAGAAACAAACAGTCCTGGACAGAAAGGGAAATACCTCGGGGACTTTCTGGGATTGGTGAGGAGGTAAAGCGGTACCTGTAGTGCAATCCCTTGCAAATCTGCACCAGGTGTCGGGCATTAAGGGGAGCATCTCCGCTTTGGGTTTCCATGTCTGGCTCAGTCACCAGGGCAGAGAGTCAGATGCTGAAACCCTCACAGCACAGGAGACAGGAGAGGAGCCGGGGCGTACGATGTTGGATAAAACCACCCTCGTGCGGAGGGTCACTTCATTACTTTATAAACGATTCTCATGGTTTGACATTTAAACAATAAACTAGGTGTGTAAGTGCTCTCATAAGAATACAGAAATCACACAAACTGCAGGGAGACAAAAACGAGTAGCAGACATTTTGGGCTTTTAATGAGTTAGGATAGATCCAGAAATACATTATGCTTCATCCCATCCAGAGTTTCAGCTAACCACAAAGCCAGTTGCAGGCCCGGCAATTCCCAGTTGTGCAATAACAGAAGGAGAATGTGTAGATTATTAATAATAACACTAGAGGAAGACAAAGTCCAAGAGGAGCTTCTGGCAACTTCTCAGTTCCAGGGAGGTCACCGTTTAGCAAATGCAGCTGTCTTAAATGTTTTTAATAAAAAGGGCATGGGACTTCTACGGAGGAGAAGGAACGCGCCGCCTTTCTGGCATTGCTGTTGCCCCAGATTATGCACGACACTCTGAATAACAGGGCCTGATTGTGAGATGCTTAAAGGTATCAGAGGCGTGGGACAGGAAACGTAACACCTCGGCACTGGAACATGGAGAATCTGACCGGACATGCGCGGAATGCAAAGTGGCAGGGGGGAAGAGCAAAGATCTCCATGTCTAACGCTGAGGATGCTTCCCATTCTGTGTTTATGAAACACGGCTACTGGGACTACAAAGGTAAGGGGATACAGCATCAAAGCCTGCCCCACAAAAACAAAAAGCAACATGGCTGCAGTGGAATGCACGGCAGAACATAATACTCCTCCTCCTCCTCCTCCTCTCCCCTAAGCAGTCTCATTTGATTACAGTGCAGCGGGCCCGAAATCAACCCCTTAATCCCAGTTCTCACTCCCCACCGGTGCCGCGAGTCGGAGGCAGAGCACTGCTTGGCAAAGTGGGGACGGAGAGTTGTTGGAGAACAAAAGCACACAGGAGCTGGTGAGCTGAGGTGTCTGTGGCGGCGCTGGAAAGTGGCTGTTGTCCTCGGTGTGGTGACTCCGGCGGAGACTGCATGTCTGATGACGGCGAGGCGGCGTATCGCTTACAGGCTCCCTCAGCAGAAGCCCCCTCGCATGTCCGTCTGCAGCCACAGACTTTGCTCTCTACTTAAGGCAACAAGAGTCAGCTCAGCATTACAGGCCTATTAAAAGATACTTTTAATTATGCCCCGCTCTCTCGGGATCACTTCTTCCATGAGCTCCGCGTTTCTTTGGCATGTGCACTTAGGAATGGCACAACCAAAAGCACGTGTTGTTTTCTTCTTCCAATTAAAGGGCATGTTGACAGATTAAGGCTGCTTCTGGTTTGTGCTCCAGTAACGCATTTGGGGGAGATGATGAGCACTGGGGAGCGGCAGCGGCGGCGGGGGTCTCTGAAAGGAAAGGCTGATGGAAGAGGAAAGAGAGAGGAAGAACATGCACATGAACCCTCAGGGATTAATGTGTTTACATTACCTGGGCTGCGATCTATCACCAACCTCGTCAACTTCTATTATGCATCACATACATAAGCATGGAGCAGACCTGGGAGACCCTGCAACTCACTCACACTATTCCAATTGGATTAAGTCAGAGCAGGTATCTAAGACACCGCTCCCAGACTGTGGTGTTAGCATCCTGGCAGTCATTTGATTTGTACGTAGTATCACTTTACCTGTTGTGAAGGCCTCCTACACACCTCAGGAGCCTGAGTGGGATTATTACACATTCAGGAGACTTTGTTTTGTTGTCCTTTTCAGGAAATACTAAAACCTTTAGAGGAGAACAGATGAACGCTGTTTCATCCCAGCTGTAACTGGAGGCTTAAACAAGGCCTGCTGACAGCGAGTCTGGAGGAGGGTCGCTGAAAGAGCTCATATTCACACTCAGGCGTCATTATTTTCAATCAATGTTCATTTACTTGCCCAGTCTATTGACTCCGTTCTGACAAAATGCTTCGGGTCATCTGTCTTATCACGGAAAAGTGAGAATTATCCCTTTTTATACCTTAGCCTGCATGGAGGGCCAGGTATGGGGTGAGGCTGGATGCACCCGATGGATACAGGCATAAATAAATATTTTTAATAAAACACAGAAAAATCAATGGGTGCTTTCTGTGATCCATCTCCAGCAAATCAATCATCATCTGTGCTGCAGGAGGGTGGCGAGGCAGCGAGAGAGAGAGAGAGAGAGAGCTGCAATCGTTGTCTGATACCTCTCATTCTGGAATCGCTTCTGATAATGGGGTCATCATTTCATCACTTAGCCAATCCAGGGGTCTGCCATTTAGCCTAGCAGGGATCGGTGTGTGTGTGTGTGTGTGTGTGTGTGTGCGTGCGTGCGTGCGTGCGTGCGTGCGTGCGTGCGTGTGTGTGTGTGTGTGTGTGTGTGTGTGTGTGTGTGTGTGTGTGTGTGTGTGTGTGGACAAACTCCATCTAGAGAACACACACACATCCTCACTCCATACATCTTCATTCAAGTCAATAAAAGAGAAAGAGATGACGAACATAGGAAGGTGATGAGAAAACGAAAGCGTGCCTCTGAAAGTCAAATCTGAACATTTTTATGAAGCAAATTACGTTTTAAAATTGGAACTTTTTCATTTTACATCAGCGGTAGCTCGTACATTTAAGATAAATAAATATAAAATGTAAACAACGTTTTATAGAAGAAACAATAAAGAAATAAAACAGGAAAAGGAGCAGAAATAAAAACAACATGAAGTGAAACAGTTCTGAGTTCAGTCGTTTCACCGCTGGGTGACTCAAGGAAACGTCCACAACTTCAGTCTAAATGGAATAAAAAACAAAGACAATCAGTCACTTTTTACATGTCAGTTCTTTTATCATAGTGAAAATGTCATGGATTCAATATTTAAAAAGTAATTAGGAATACTAATAAAAATGATCATAATAAAGAGGAATTATTGCTGTAAAAACATCGAACCTTTGCTCTGTGCTGTTGTTTAATCAGTGCGCGCGTGTTTAATCATTAAATAACCCTTGGAAAAAAATGCAAGGTCAAAAATAAATTACATCCATTATTTGCAGCAGATCTCCCCAAAGCCTTTGGAGCGAAAACTGTTTTGAATTTCAATTGGCTTCAAGTGGCAAAAGCCCCTCAGCTAATACATCAAAGAAAAATTGGTGTCAACTAATCGGTTTAGGACACAGATTTAAAAAAAATCCCATGAATACTTCAAGCATGTTTCTGTTCTCCACTGAAGGCTGGGGAGCGCGCCGCTGACCTTGTGCGCTCCAGAAACCTGACCGCCACTCCACGTTAACCGACTGTTTAACTCACCCAGCCGCGCAATTAGTGCGCCACAACGCACAGTGTTGTGTAATAATAGCCTCCATATCCAATTTAGATTACACGCGCTCCCTCCGGCATTTTAAGTGGCATGCGTCATATTTCAGTCACTTCTTCTGAGCCGACTAAAGCCGTTTTCATGCGTCAAAACCCGGAGGTCGCTCTTGGAGGGAGGGAGAGGCAAAAGGGAAGCGATAGCGCGCACAAAGACGCCAGGCTGGAGAGACAACGAGCAATAAAACCTGCGCCAGCATCTAGCCACGTCAACCTTTTTCTTTTGATTCTACATGTTGGAAAATGAGTAGAACTGTCCTTACCTCCACCTCCTCCTGCAGCAGCAGCGCGGCAGCAGTCGCCATAATAACCCTGCTCCTATTAAAGGCTCCGTGATCTCAGATTATGGGTCCTCCTCCTCCTACCTCAGACAGCGACTCTTAAACAAAAACGCATTAGGGAGGAGGACACGTGACGCACAATGGACCTCCAAACGCCACCACATAGCCTATCTTAAACATTCATCACTTCCTATAAATGACATCTCATGATGACAGAGTTTAAAAAAAATAACACGTGACACGATCAGAATGATTGAAAAAGTTCAGCACAAACTTCTCCAGCATTAGGATAAAAAATACTCTAATTAGATAACTGTCTAAACAGGAAGCTGTGAAACAGGTCTCATGGCATCACTTTCATCTGATTAGGAAATATTGTAGGGTCACGTTGTGCCCCCTCCCTCCCTCCCTCTCCCACCCCACCCCACCCACCTCACCTCTCCTCTCCTCTCTGACTCTCTTGTCTAAAGTCTGAGTGAGCTCGCACTGTACTGGCGTCATCATTCTCTGCTCTCTTGAGGCTGTTCAGAGCGTAGGAAGCACGTGACCGGGTGCGCACAAACACACGCGCGCGCTCCTTAGCAGCGCCTACAGCGATCCCTTTCGGCTTATCTGGGACTTGAACTATGGAGTCAATCAGCTATGCGGAAGCGGCTCTGCAGGCACGAATAACACGCACTTTGTTTTATAAAATATAGAAAATGCAAATAATTAATTTACAATTAAACAGTAAAAATCAATAATAATAATAATAATAATAATAATAATAATGATAATAATAATAATAATAATAATAATAATAATAATAATGGTGTTCAAATTAAATAAAGCTTTAAGCATGGTAGATCAGATTTATTGCTATCAGATATTTGACCATAAATATGTCCGCTGTGATCAAAGGAGATTACACCCCCTAGTCCAGGCGGATTTCATGTAGTTGGCACTAATCTGCCCTGGCTTGAGGGTTTACGGCTGTTCTGAGAGCGTTAAATGTGACTGGTGTATTCTAGGATCTATTGCAAAAACTATTTGTCCTACACACACGCGCGCGCGCGCACACACACACACACACACACACACACAAGAAAAAAGTTAGTTAACCCGCAGAAAAACTGTCCTCAAACAGGTTCGCTCGTGCGCAGTTTGCGCGATCTCTAACTTAGTTTTGGTTAAGCATCAGCGGCGTTTTCAGAAGCTGACACGCACAACTGCGGTAATCCATTAGAAACCGCGATGAGGATGTTTAATAGCGCGCGCGTGGAGATCGAACAGCCTCTGTCTGCTCATTTAACGCATCACCTTAAAAAAAGAGGCGAGTTTTCTTTTTCTTTTTTCTTCTTTTTTTTTGTCTTTGCGCACAAAGAAGGAGCGACAAATGCAGCGCGCGGCGGCAGTGCAGCGCTCTCCCATAATTCCTGTCGGTATCTTGCGAGCTCTCATCTCTGCACACAACAGCCGATTTGTTATTGATCAAGTGTGAACGTGAGGACCTCGCTTTGGGAGAAAACGACGAAAGTTGGGAGCTGATAGAGGCGCGTGACGTTGCCGTCCAACGGGGGCTGCCAGGCGCACTTGAGGCTTACTGCAACGAGCCTTGTTAAAGGGAGAAAACAGAGAAATGGAGAATGAGACGGCTTGTTAGTTAACGCGAGAGAATGAAGGGGTGAGAGAGGGAGAGAGAGAGAGGGAGGGAGAGGGAGAGAGGGAGCATGGGTTTGGGTAGGGTTGTGGTTACCCAGCATAAGCTTTTGCCTTTCCCTTTGGTGACTACACCCCGAGAGGAGGAGCGTGGTGCGCAGCGCAGTGAGCGTCAGGATCCAGAATTTCTAACTTAGCATCTTGGCAGGACATTTTCCCAAGCAAGTCACCGTCCTACGGGCAAAAAATAAAACTTCTGCTCAGGCATGAGAGCGACGGTGCAACTCAGATAGGGGAGTAGCAGCAGAGAGAGGGAGAGAGAGCGAGTGAGGGAGGGAGAGAGAGAGAGGGGGGGAGAGACAGAAAAACCCGACCCTAAACCTCCGACGGAGAGAGTGGCTGGCTGTCTGCGACTAATCAACCAATTTCTTGAGCCTCTTTTTTATTCTTTTTTCGTCCAAACTGTTTTCTTTTGTCTGTGAGAAGAAGGGACAGGCGGCGGGTCTGCAGCCGCGCGGCTCTATGCGCTCCGACAGCCGCGCATGAAGAGAAAATAAAAGAAGAGGGGGAAAGTACGCAAGTTAAGTGGCTCAGCCTCTCCGGGCTCCAGCATGGCGTATCCTCAGGGCTACTTGTACCAGCCGTCCGCCTCTCTCGCCCTCTACTCCTGCCCCGCGTACAGCACGAGCGTCATCTCGGGACCCAGGACGGAGGAACTTGGGAGATCCTCTTCGGGGTCTGCGTTTGCGCCATATGCCGGATCTACTGCTTTCACCAGCGCCTCTCCAGGCTACAACTCCCACTTACCCTACAGCGCGGACGCGGCGGCAGCCGCCACCTTTACCTCATACGTGGTGAGTGCGTTAAAGTTCATTCATTAATCCAGACAGGCGCAAAACCAGGAGTTTCGCTAAAGCTGCGGGTTTCTGGTGAATCTGGGGAAAGGTGGAGGGGACAACTATGGGACTGGAGAATTTTAGGAGCCGAAATAAACTCAAGCAAAAAATAAATAAATAAATAAAATAAAAATAAAAAGTACAAACATGGCCGCGGGACATTTTACGTAGTTTATATTTTAATAGGAAAAGTGAGAAATGTTGTCCCGACGTCTGCAGAAACGCCGCAAGAAGCTTGCTTTTTATAATCTTACACATTTAGTTAAATGGAAACGTTTAAACGTGAAACACAAACAAACAAACAAACAAACAAACAAACACGTGATTTGTTTCAGGAGCTTTTTCTTTTCTCTGCGTTTTTCACCAAACGAAATAGACCCAGTTTACATGACCTCATAGGCCCCAGTCAGGATCACAAAGCTCTTACAAAAACCAAATCACGATGAGACGAGTGTGCAAAACGTTACCAGCGTTGTTATAATTTCACACGCGTGTCTTTTAATAAAGGGCCCGGCGCGTTAAGGAGGTTTATTAAGAGGAGAAAAACTAGATAAAGAAACAGAACAGAAAAAATGCGATGGAGCTCAGAACAGCTTCAAACTTGACCTGCTGGATTTTAGCCAGCGCATTAATGTGTATGCGCGCGCGTGTGGTGTCACGCGCGTGTGCATTTGTGTTTACGTTTATGTGCCGCGAGTTTCCTGGAAGTTTTCTGATAGCAAAATGATAATAATAATAATAATTATTATTAATATTATAGTAATTATATAGTAATTATTATATTATTATTATTATTATTATTATTATTAATCTAATGGTTTATTTTCGTTTTCCAGAGTTCTCCCTATGATCACACCACGGGGATGGCCGGCTCAATAGGATACCACCCTTACGCAGCACCCTTGGGCACCTACCCTTACGGTGACCCTGCTTACCGTAAAAACGCCACGCGGGACGCCACCGCCACCCTGAAGGCCTGGCTCAACGAGCACCGTAAGAACCCCTACCCCACCAAGGGAGAGAAGATCATGCTGGCCATCATCACCAAGATGACCCTCACCCAGGTGTCCACCTGGTTCGCCAACGCCAGGAGGAGGCTAAAGAAGGAGAACAAGATGACCTGGACCCCTCGGAACCGGAGCGAGGACGAGGAGGAGGATGAGAACATTGACTTGGAGAAAAACGACGACGACGAGCCCAACAAGCCTTCAGATAAAGGAGACTCGACGGACACAGAAGCAGGTGGGTGTTTGAGAGAGGGAATAAAAAAAAGAATCATCAATTTTTCATCGCAGTCGTTTCCACTCAGGGCGCAGAATGGATTGCTGGTTAATAGTGGTTTATAATTTATAATGAGACAATTGCTTTAAATAATAATCACCTTGAAGTCCCCTCGTTTGACTTTTCATGGGCTGAAATTGCTGCTGACGAGGAGGGTTTAGCAGCCAATTTGTCTTTAACAGCATAATGAGGACGCAGCTGAAGAGCAGTTTTATTTCTCGTTTCACACAAAATGCGCGCGTGTTGGTTTCAGCTCAGCTTCTTAAATGCGTTTGGTTTATTTGAGTGTGAAGGATGTGGTTGTTGTTATTTAACTGCTTTATTTTATTGTGATAAGGGAAAACACTGGATTATTTTAATCTGGAATCTGTCACGCTCATTTGCTAATCTTTTATTTATTATTTTTTTATTTTTTCCCGCGCCTTAGATCACAAACTACTGAACCCAGGGGACGTGGGCTGTGACAGATTTAAAGAGGAGAACCATGGAAAAGAATTGGATCCCCTCCTGAGCGACTCGGAGTTAAAAGAGCAGGAGGAGCGGACTACGGAGCTGCTGCCGGATTCCGCCAAACCGACCACGTCGTCTCCCTCGGCGGTTTCCCGGGGGAACCAGGCCGCCGCGCAACAAGACAAGCCGTCCGATTTGAGACACGCACCGAACGCGGTGACCAGCAACGTGACCTCTGTGATCCACTCCCCCCCTTCCGCCCCCAAACCCAAACTCTGGTCGCTTGCGGAGATCGCCACGTCCTCAGACAGGTGTAAGGGCAGCAGCGACGCGCCCGCGGCGTGTCCCGGTCTGGGCCAGAGCGCAGTCCTGGGCGCCACCGCGTCTCCGTCACGGTCCTCCCCGCAGTGTCACCTTCCCACCAGCACGGTGCTGTCCAGGCCTCTGTACTACACGTCCCCTTTCTATCCCGGCTACACGAACTACGGTGGCACTTTTGGACACCTGCACAGTAACCACGGCTCGGTGAGCACGGGCTCCACAGCACATTTCAATGGATTAAACCAGACTGTGTTAAGTAGAGCAGAGGCTCTGGTCAGAGAGAGCCAGAAAGTCAGAGGCCAAACACAGGTAGATCTTTGTAAAGACTCCCCTTATGAACTAAAGAAAGGTATGTCAAATATTTGAATTTTTTTCCACTCACAGCGGACTTTTATTATTTATTTTTTGTGGTTGCATTAAAACAAGTTTAAAAAAACCTGATAAATGATGACGCAACACCCGAGAACAGTTATTTTCTGAGTAAATGCTTATCCTGAGAATTTTAGTTTCTGAATGGTTAGTCCTAAAGTGTAACAAGGATGGTCTTAACCGCTGCAGCCGCCTCTTTGTATTAAAGACTAACGTGTATATTTAATGTAGCTTTTTGTATTTAAAATGGACAGCACACTATCTTTGAAGTAAATTATGGAGAAAACAAAGAAAAGTTTGTGCAGCGATTATTTTGGGGGTGGAACAGCTGGCTCTGCAGCTCTAAGGCCAGCTCTCCTGTGCGACATTTCTGTTCCATATTGCACAATGACAGATGGTTCAAAGGTAATTACTTCCATATATGAGGCGGGGAAAGAGGCCTGCTGAAAGAAGTGAGGATTAAAACAACAATGTTCGGGTTATTAATGCAGCAAATATTTTAATGGGATTATTTGATTTGACTTATCTAAAAAAATCCCCAAGATCCTCTTTCCTTTCACTTTCCTTTCACGTGAGCACGTTTCTAAAGGTGCATGTTGATATAATAACAACACCAAGGCGCAGTCGTTTAACCCAATTACCTTCCGTGTTTTATCTGGAGCAATCAGGTGATGAACTCTGGTAATGAGCTCGATTTTATGCCAAATTTAGACCTCATTACTATTTTCTAAGGCGTGGTAGAGCTGTTAAAATGGGACGCGGCCATGCATTTAAAACATACTGGCCTATTATGTGTCATTAATGAAGTGGCGCTTTAATGGCGCGTGGATGTTGTTGCCTCCATGTGGAGAGATTATTAGTAGTAGCAGTATTAATAATAATAGTAATAATAATAATAATAATAATAATAATAATAATAATAATAATAATAATAATAATAATAATAATAATAGTAATAATAATAAGAGTCTGTGTAGAATCAGACAGGCTCCAAGAACTCTTCCAAGTTCTGCAGGTAGGTGTCACACTTGCTCCTAATTTCAGTAAGGGAGGGAGGGAGGGAGGGAGGGAGGGAGGGAGGGGGAGGGGGAGGCTGATAATCCGTCACGGAAACCCATGCCAGATCAAATGGCCTCCTAAAAAAATGAAAAGAAGAGAAGAGGAGGAACTGGAGCCACTGGGGCAACAATGATGATTACAGATATTAGGAGGATTATGGTAACTTTGACAAGAGGATAAAAACGACACACCTGACCGTCATGGAGACTAAGAGAAATGATGAAATATTATTTTTGAAATACAATTCAAAGTTTTAATCTGTTTAGATGAATTTGAAAATATTATTATTTTTAATAATAATAATAATAATAATAATAATAATAATAATAATACATTTATTATTATTAGGTAATTTTCACTTACCAGCCCTTTTACCCAAAGGCCTAATTTCTTTCTTTTTTATTTTATTTCCCTTTATTCGTTTAAAAAAATATTGCAGTGCTTTTAAAAGAGATCGAGTCGCTATAATTATTATTATTATTATTGATGTCGTTATTGTTGACCTCCACTGCGGTGGGACAGCAGGCTCTTGTTTATGGCTGCCATTAATCTCTATAGTTTACTTTCCCCTTCTCCAGAGTGAAAACTCCCCTGAGGTTTCCAGAATTCCCTCAGCCTTAATGTCCTCTATTTTAATCTGACAGAGTGAGCTGGAGCAGTGATTGCGACGCATCAGCCGCTAAATAGCATAATTATGTCTTTATTATTATTATTTTGTTAACTTCTGCTGACCCCCGGAGGGGAAGAACTGCTCGATGCAGCAACGTCCCATCAGATAATTTTCATTAGAATTCGGAGTTTATTTCTTTTCGTTGTTTGTTTGTTTGTTTTATCCTGAATGGATGAAATGACATTTTCTTCAGGAGGAGGACAGAGCCTCTGCGCCACATCCAGATCACACTAATACTTTCATGTCAGACATGTGATGCTTTTGTTTATGGAAGAGTTTTGGGATGAACCGTTTTTTTAATTTAGTCATTTTTTAAGAAGAGAATATTTTTAATATATTGTCCCCAAATTAAATGGAATAACTTTATGATTTTAATTACAATTGTTTTTCTTGTTGGAATTTTTTTTGAAAATGTAGATTTTTTTAAGTTAGTTTTTGTTTCAGTCATTTGCAAATTTTTTTCACATTGAACTTATTTGGTCCCATAATGTTTTAATGATAATAATAATAATAATAATAACAATAATAATAATAATAATAATAATAATAATAATAATAATAATAATAATAATAATAAAGAATAATAATAAATAATAATAATATAATAATAATTATTGTTGTTAGTTTAATTTTGAACTTAAAGCATATTTTATGACAAAATTCGGGGGGGGGGGGGGGGGGGGGTTTGAAGCACAACACTTCACCAAATGAGTGCAAACGCACCCTGACATTTGCGCATTTCTCTGCGTGATAAAATCCCGCGCATGAAACCGCAGGAGCAGCAGATTTTGCGCATCTTTACCAGAGTCGCGGTGCAGGATCCTGCAAGGGAGCTCCGGCTTCCCAACACTTGAATGGCGCGTCGGCTCATTGTTGGCATCGCTACAACTGGAGAATATTAAGTAGGGCTGAAGCTGCTCCCACGAGTGAAAAACTGGGGTAAATAATCCGACAGGAGAAGTTCTGGAGCCTTCACTCCGCTTTAATGTGAGAGTCGGGAGCGTTCAGAAACTATTTAAAACACTTTCGGGTTGTTTTCTGAAATAACTTCACCACAATAGTAGAAAAAAAGTCCTCCATCAGAGTACAATCCAAATGCTTTATAAAATCGAAAAAAAAACATTTATGTTAAATCAAACGTGTGATAAACTCTGAATTTTAAAAACAATCTCGTTATTTTTAAATTGCTGCTTTCAGGGCTTTTGTTGCAGATTATATATATATATATATATATATATATATATATATATATATATATATATATATATATATATATATATATATAGTTTGTGACCGTCTGCCATGCTGGTTTTATCGGCTGAGATGTTAAATAACACCTTTTTTTTCGTTTCCAGATGTAAGAAACACGTGCTTTTCAGTACATGATAAAAACTCAAACCTAATAAAAGAAAAGAAAAATAATCGTTTTATTTTGAAATCCGCTCAAAGTAGTGAAAACAAATAAAACAATTGGGGAAAAAACGAGGCAACGAATAATAAAAAAGACGATTGTTCGATTCCAGTGGTCAAAATTCTTTGATATATATATATTTTTCAGACATTTAATTTTGAAGCACAAGCAAACAAACACAAAAACGTTTTTCCTATTTTAAATGAATAAACACGAATGTAGTGAAACGTCCTGGATCACGTGGAGCAGACGCACTCGACACCGAGCTGGTGGGCAGGTCTTTGAACGCCTCTCAACTGCTCCTGTGTGTCAGAGCGCGAGGTGAAACCAGAACCTGTTGATACGCGCAGATCAGCGGGCAACGCAGACGCACATCATATAAACAGACTATTGATACAACACTCGAGAGTCGGATTCAGCTCTGGTGCGTAAAAAGACACCGCTCGAACTCGACCAGCTCGGATTATCCGCGCGGGTCAGGAGGAACAGGAACAGAAAGAGGAATAAAACAGTGCTGACATCTCTTTTCTTTATTTTTGTCACTCAAATACAGACGTTTGGTTCTTCTTTAATACATTTTCCTTTAAAACGAGACAATGTCTTTTCAGTTTAGCTGCACCGAAATAAGTTAAAACAAATTAGAAATGAACACTTTCCAAAGGTTTATGTAGCTTTTAAATCACCATCATTTACTAAATGACGAAGCCAAATGGAGGGAATCCAGTTTCAGTCTTGTGGCTAAGCCACACCAGAGATTTGAGACCAGATAGGTTCTGTTTTGGCACAAGGTTGTAAATTTAGCATCAAGTTCAGCAGTTTGCATCTGAGGCCTGATTCAGGCGGTTAAAGTCTCCCATCAGAGCAGCATCACCCTGAACCTCGCGTTCATGTTAAGTGGAGTTATAAAAAGCGGTCTGGAACACGCTAAAGCGACCCAGATAAGGTGGCGGAGAGTGATTTACCACTATTTTTCTGCACTTCACCGACTGTTTTTCTATTTCTCCGTAGAGCTCCTCTGGGAGAGATTACACGTGTAATTTTCTCCTGTGAGATGTTTTCAGTGACCTGCCCCCCCCCCCCCCCCCCCAAACATAAATAAAACACTTTTTTGTGAAGAAAGAAAAACATAAAGGTTGAACGATGTACTATATAGTAAATCACAAATAAATACTCCGTTTAAAGTCAAACCTTTCTTCACACTCTGCCGGCCGAGCATCTAAGGGATTTGGATTGATGTTGGGATCCTAATACAATCAGCTTAAGTTCTCTGAAAGGCTTCAACAGTGCAAACAGGTAGTCCTAATTATCCTTAATCAGGGACACGATCCTCACAAGCACACACGCGCATGCACGCGCGCAGCTCTCCTCGGAAAGCACCTTGACTCGTTGAAAGGAGCGGCTCACGGGCCAATCTGCTCTGACAGCAGCGTGGCGTGAGCCTCTGACCCCGTGACTGCAAAGGGTCTGTGTTCAGTGGCCATGTAAGGGCTCACTGGAGCTCACTCAGAGGGGTTCTGCCCTGCCCTGAGGGAGGGGACATGGACACACCCACACACACACACACACACCCACACACACACACACACACACACACACACACACACACACACACACACACACACACACACACACACACACACACACACACACACACACACACACACACACACACACACACATGCATATTTGCAGGAGGGTCTTGCGGCCTTTTCTCGATGCCGAAGCCTCTCAGGTGCGTACGGCCACGGGGTCGTAAGTGTGTGCATCCGATTCGAAGGTCGGGATACCGGCGTGCTCTCCCTTCTGTGACCATGCACATGTCGGGTCTGCATCCTCAAATGGACCTCCCGTGCGAAGATGAGCAGGTTCAGCTGAAAATGGCAACCTACCAAAAAGTTTACTTCTGCATTTTTTTAAACAAACAAACAAAGAAATAATTTGTATTTTTAGAGGATAAATATCAGTCAGACACGGCACTAATCTCACAGAATGAATGGTTGTGAGGAAGATTGATGAAGTGTTTTCTTTCAGTGACTTCACAGGGTCCACAGGGGAGGAGGGGCACCGAGCTGCCTGAATGTTTATTTACATTTGCTCTTTTTAAATGATCCCTTTCTTCTCAACATCTGCTCCACATTACCACACAGATATCTGTCCTAATGACCGCTGTAATGCCTGCGCTCACACACTAACGATCACACACGCACTGCCTGTAACATCACCATTATCCCCCGTTCATCTGGGACACTTTACCCTCTTCAAACCACCTTGCACAACAAATGGACCTTCTCTCGCTGCTGGCCCGCTTTTGTTTGCGCCAGGCTTCTCATTTCTGCTCCGGGTTTGGTGCAGTCTGATGGATGCAAATGGGCACTTACTTAATTGGATCAGTTCCCAAGATGAAGATAAAGGGGGGACTTTTTTTTTCAACCCAGCTTCCCCAAGTTATTCTGAGCCCTGCTCAGCTCAGCGGTGTGTGGAGACAATGTTAATGAGAAGGGGCGAGGAGTCACCGGCACTGCTCAGCTCAGGATTCACACCCGTACGGTGAGAGGAGGGAAGCTGCGTGGGTCTCGTGTGTGAGGGAAGGGCCTACAAGTCTCAAACTAGCAGCTGGGAGAAACCACCATGGCTGCTCCGGGTTTGGTACACGCAGGCACCTG